CAGGTGGGCGCACACACACAGCACAGCACACACAGCACACAACCCACAACACCACACACGCATGCACGCGCACATCACAGATTGGGCACAGCAGAGCACACACACACCCGACACACACACACAAGCACGTACCACACCACACACACACACACGCACACAGAGTATGCACACACACGCACACACACACAGCACCACACCACACACACACAAAACACACACACACACACACACCTGGAGCGTTGCAATAATAAAACTTGTTTAATCGCGCGTATTTAAGCGTTGACCCCAATTCCGCGCCCGCAATTATTCCCGCTTCATCGGGAGCCATGAAAAGTCCAATTAAGCGGTGGCGCCGATTAAGCGGTGAACACATAACAACGCGCGTAAAGGATCGTCTTTCAGGACAATGATGTCGTTTAAGGCGATGCGCCCGCCGTTTATCCAGACCCGATAAAGCGGTGAGCATGCAGTACTGTATTCATGCATACGGCGCGATGTAGCGTTGTTTTGGGGATGTGTAGATGCATGCTCGTGTTTAAATCGCACGCTGTGCCTACAGTATGCCAGCGAGCTAATAATACCTTAATTTTATTAGGTACCTTATTACCTTATACGTTATTAATGCACAACATGATAAATCGTTGAATTCCATTGGATTCGTCGCAGATACTATCAAGAGCTAATAATAATTGATATTATTTGATACCTAATAATACCTTGATTATTTTACCCAAGATATTATAGCTCTTGATACTATAAACATGTTGCCCCTGAGGCGGCCACTATTGCTGCGCGACGGGTGCAGTTTTTATTTTCCCCTAACCTGTAGCAGTTTCTTTTCAGTGAGTCACTGGAACAATGACAGCCCATTCTGTTTTGAATACAAATTGAAATTGTTCGTTAAGTTTTAAGTTAAGAAACTAAGTCTAAGAAACTATGTTTAAGTACAGTTAAGAAACTTTGTCTTATTCACTTTATATTTGCCGAGTAGATTGCAAAGTCATAGTGATGGGATGCACTAAACATTATTGCTTGTTGTTGGGATGTTGGTATGTGTGTTAATATGCTATAATTTAGATATATATCAAGAGCCTAAGAATAATAACTT